GTACTTTATCGTCTTTACTACATGTAAAGAGGCATCGTTCCATCTTGTCTAACATTCGCTTTCCTTCGCGTACTATTTAGATGTTTCACTTTACTTTGTAAACGGCAATCCCGGGGCATAGAATATTCATTTCTCATCTCGTTGTAGGCTACCTAATCCTGTTGGAGGGTACAAAAAATTTTCCCGTGACGTTTTCTCGCATTATTGATGCATAAGTGAAACTTTACATTCACCTTTTTGTTTTTGAAATGTTCATAAATAAATTAAAAGATTTTGTCATTTCTTTAAAATTTTGGTGTTTACTTTACATACATTTCATATTTGGACAGGAATTTCATAATCTGTTGAATATTTCGGTTTGTTTTTAATTCTCTCATCATCAAATCAAAAAAGTGAAATTGATAGTGATATGAAAATTTTTAGGACTCAATCTGAGAATTTACAGACTAAGATGGATAAATTTTGATTTACAGAATATACTGTACGTAAAAAAGTTTTCAAAAAATTAAATAATTTAAATTAGGTCCTCTTACTTTAAGATATAATCAATCAATTTATTTTCACTTGTTTTTGAAACTCTTGCTATTTACTGAGCGAAGTTTCTTATCGCACGTTATATTTGACAAACTTGGCGAATGAGAGCTAGACAGAAAAAGTTTAATATCGTCACGACACTTTATTGTTTAGTAAGAGCACCCCATACAATGTCATCATAAGTATATGGCAATCATGTAAGTATTAAGGAATGTATGTACTATATAGTACGTAATTCGTATGCATTCTTATGACGGGGCCCTACATATGTAATGGACATTCCTTGAGATTTGTACTCGTGATAATAATTATTGCCACCAGATATTATGAGCTAAGAGCAACCCATAATGTGACGTTATCACAAGAAATAGGTCTGTGCATTCTGTGCAGGCCTATCTTTAATGATTTTCAACATGTACAACATACATTGCTTGATGTTCATGGTAATCGTGACAATTTTTAAAACCTAATTTATATATCAATTGCAGACAGCGAAAGGTTTTTTCGTTTCTACCAGGTGTCTCACGATATCTCTCTTTCTTTAACTTATTTTCAGTTAGTATATTACGCTTGTAACTTTTTTTTAAGTTATCTACAAAAAATGTCAAAAATGATTTCACTCAAAACTCACTAATGACAAAAGGGAAACGTCACTCTAATATTCGCGGCTAATTTTGTTGTCAGTATCATATTTAATAATTTGCCTGACATCATGTCACTTCCAATTTGCAATTGCCAGAGCTAAGCATCTAGCTACCTGTTGAAATTAATTGTTTAATGAGTTATGCTTGTTCTTAATCCATACTTAGATACTTACTCAATTTATATAGTAAATCCCGTGGTATATAATTTAAATATGCTTAAATCCACTATAATAAAGCACAGTAAAAATGATGCTAATCAAAACATTGATATAATTATATATACCAAAGACTATTATTTCATAAGCTTCTTTATGATCTATAAAAGAGCTAAAAGTATTACCTAAAGTCTACCCTAAATGCAAAAGTCTAGGGCAATTCAAGTTAATTCAAACGAGAATAGCAGCTTACCACGTCTTTCAACGTCTTAAGATAAGCATTTCAAATAATTTAACGTGGCATACATTAAAAAAGAGTTAGGTATACAAAGTCGGCAAGATTTTAAATGCTAAAAGTTACAAGTGAGATTGTTGATTTTTGAATCGTAACGTTTTACTGTTGTTTTTTTAATGTTAATTTTAAAATGGACCAATAAAATACATATATTTTTCATGGCATGAAAATCCTAGTATTAAGAACTGCTTTCATATCAAGCTAGATCGTACATATGCGAATACTGAAGAATAGATGAATAATTTTGATCTCTCCACTTTTTATGTGATTGAATTGCTCTAAAGAATTGCTAGGTTTTTTTTTGTATTTATGTAAGGTTTATTTTACTATTGGTCTAAAACAAAATTATTTTCCTGTATCGTTTTTTGTAATATTAAATAAATATAATACTGTAAGAATTAAATTTTAAAAATCTTGTACAATTTCCTCTTATTTTGCGAGGTGAGAAAAGAACAAAATGACGCCATACAACACTGAGTGTTTGGCAGTACGTATGTACCATTGTACATACATATTTCCGAACCAGACTCGGGCGTACAAGCTATGGTCCGTATAATATCTTCTCTTCTTTACAGAAAGAACACACTTTCTGTTTCTTAAAAGATAATGAGAAATACCAATGCACCAATCAAATCAAAATTAAATCTTTTTTATTTACTACATAATATGTATTAGTATACAGGGTTGTCCTAAGCAGTATTCGTCATAGCCACACACCAATCTCGATAAAACAAACCTACACGGAAGTTATTACAGTGCATGAATGTAGGCAAGTTAGGCTTAATGACAACACTAGATTTGTAAATATCTATAAAGAATATATTTTTATTTATGTCTCCTAATTGTTTTTATTTAATTTTTAAATAATCGTCGTTTCTAAAGAATTCTTCATTTCTTTAGTTAAAATAAAGAAAAATAAATAACATTTTCTCCTTAGCACAACTGTTCACACCAATAAACAGTAAAACTCATTCTAGCAAGTGAACACGTGGAATCAAACCTGACACGTCTGGACTCGTTAAGCACTAGCTGTGGCTTAGGAGCTTAGAGCGATACAAGCCCCTACGATAACAGTCGGTTTAAACTCAGTTTTAGTACTGCCTGAGTACTATTATAAAATTGGGAATGTTTTCTCAGGGCCATTTGTAAGAATTTTATTAATTAGCGACTTTCATAAAACGTAGTTATTCGTTAGTAATATTTTTGTTATTTCTATTTTATATTTTCTGTATGAGTTTTGTCTAGTGGTGTACCATTAAAAAATCTTGACCTTTTACTTTAATTAAGTAATAAAGTAATAATTTTTAAAATCTTCAAGCTAACAAAAATTTCCTTTTTAACTAATAATTAAATAATATCGTCATTTTAATTATTACGAAATGTTGAATAGCTATCTCTTTAATAAAGTCTATCGTCCCTTTGTTATTGCTGAAATTAAATTCATTATATATCAAAATTAAGCTTATTATCTAATTAAATGTAACACCCGTGGATATGTTAAGCCAGAGCTTCATCCGGATATACTCGCATGTGTATGCGCTGATGATAACGTTATCGTTATTAAACGATTTCACCTTTGATATTGCCAAAACTCTAATATTATTTCATTTTCTAAATACGTATTAATTAATTTTTTAGCAATTATCTTAACTAACTTAATATATTAAGACAGAATTTTTGACTCAATAGTTTAAATTGGACATTACGGTTTATTTAATGTTGAAATTTTGTATTAATGCTATTTGACACAATTAAATACATATTCGACGTTTCCCATCAAGCCATTAGTGAATAATGAAGATTACAATACTTGTAGGATGTATATCTTCATTTTAGAATTAAAAAAAATTGGTGTAAGAGAATAAAAAATAGCTAAAGATTTCATCCCGTATGTCACAACTCTCTGTTTGTAAAAGGAATGCAGCTAACTTCATCATGTCGCTTTTTGGCTGTCGGTGTGCGCGCGTATTGTAAAAATTTTACTCTCATATTTTTTTCCAAACGTGCCAAAAGAAGTATAACTTCAATAACATCTTTTAAGTAAGTATTTATCATGTAAAACTAAAAGAAATCAACCACGTTGATCCGGCGTAGACTGCTAGTTATTAATATGATAAAGTTCTATAAATTTTCAAATTTATTTATGTGTAAAATTCAAAAGTATTAACTTAAATGACTTTATGAATTATGGAAATAACAGGTGTCTTTTACGTACGATGTTATTTATATATTCCCTACGGCAAGAAATGTCATTAAATAATATGTAGACTAACATCTCAACGGATTTCAGCTATGTTTACAATTTAATGTTATTATAATATGTACATGAAAGTTTTACATAATTTAATTATTTCAATCTGACAAAACCTGTACCAATATGTTAAGTGTTTTTAGAAAATGTGAACAGTTTTTCATAGAAATTGACATGAAGCATGGCATGACTTATTTTATTAATAGATTATTTGTTTTTGTTTCTAGTGCCACAAGCATTTTTACAGTTATATCGGGTCACTTAATCCTAATAAGAACTCTTTCTCTTTATTTCAATGTTTTTTATCTAAACAGTGTTAAATAATCTCAATATACAAAGGCTTCTTATAGAAATAAACAAATACATCTAAGATAAAAGCTTGTTTTACTCAACAAGTAATCACAGTAATGGGACGATGGATTAATAACAATCTGGCTAATGAATTTTTAATTTTCATAATTAATGATGCTTCTGTACTGGTTCATAACTAATATTCTTTATGAGAGGCCAGTGATAATTATTATCGGTTTTCCCTAACCTTCATGTTTCTTAAATGTTTCTTATAAATACAAGCAAATGGATCGTTGTGAAACTAAATTGAACGATTATTTACTATGAAATGATTTTATTATATTAAACTTCTTAGGTACTATTATATATAATATATTCAGAATTTCAGAATCAATACAACTAAATTTAACTTTTTATTAATGGATGAAAACTTCTTTAGTTATAAAGTTCTAAAATATTGTGTTATGTGAATTATCTATGCTAAAGCTGCATATTTTTAAACTTTTAAATACGCAGCAGACATGAATTAATATACTATTAATACAAAACTGTTTTAGAGTCGGTGCTTTAAAAACTTTTAAAATATTGTTGACCTTTAATAGATAAGAAGACCTTCAATAAACTAAAAAGCAAAATCTTTCTAAAAGAATTAAACGACATTTTTCATCACCGTGCTATTAAAGTATATAACTTTTCCATGTGTCCCCTTCAAAATACCTAAATGCAGGTGCGCTAAGCGATCAATTTGGTACTACAACACTCTGAAATTACTAAACACTCCGAAATTACTATTTTGTGTGTATTTAATAAAAAATATATTTGATCAACAGAGCGCCGAAGAAGATCAGGGTCTCTCGACGAAGCCGCTGAAGACAGCAGCGATAATGGAGGAGGTAGTACACCAAAGAAAAAAACCGCAATCGAAGAACAATGGGAGAGGGCAGGTGGCTTCGAGCTTACATCAGTAGAGCAGGAAACCTATGAAAAATATTTCTACGGAACAGAACATTGGAACTACTTTACAAATGATGAAGACCTCGGTCCTGTTATACTGTCTATAAAGCAAGAAACACTCAACGCTAGGGACCAGTTTAGGTAAGTCGATAATAAATAAATTCATTATTTCTCACCACAAACAAAGCAATATAAAACATAGGACAGAAACGAAACATTTAATAGATTAAAGAATGATTTATTAATTGTAGATCGCTGGTACCTACGAAACCACTGTTACAGAATACTTAGTCTCAGCCTCTGGACCATCGAATAAATTAATTGCATAGGTATATTATAAGCGAACGCGGACCAGACGCGCGTCAACAGTGCGTTAAAAACTACCGTCGTGTGCATAAGCCCTATTTTCTTTTTATTTTTGTAATTATTAGGTACATAGCCATTGTAATAATGCATTATACAAACGAAAATATAAAAGTCACTGTAAAATGTTATAAGGCCTAAACACAACCGGTCAATAGATCACACCGAGTCGTTTTAGAAATATAAAAATGTCAAGCAATCGAGATAAATCTTACCGTCCGTAGTTGATTTAATGTCTCAGTGCTTTTTTAATAACGTAGAAGAATATTAAGACTTAAGTTGTTGTAACTACTATTCTGGAATGTTCTCGACTCTATAATCTTTCAAAAGAACAAAATTTAATAAATTCTGTTAAACGATGAAAATAATTTAAACTAATTATATATTTCTCACAGAAGCTTCATAAATTATTAAATAGCGAATATAAAAGTTTATGATATCCTGGGTAAGTAAATTCTCGCCAAAATTCCAAGCGAACATGACTTTACAGTAATAATTAAGTGAACATTTGTTTTGTATGTATATATAATTAAGTATAATTGTAATTTCATTGTATTTCCTATTATTATAATTAAACAAAGAATGATGTTGGAAGCTTAAGTATTAATAAAAAATTAAATATATTATATGCTTACGGATTTTCTATAATATGTACATACCTTGTCATATTATAGAAAATCCGGAGTCATAGGTAATTCTTAAACAATACCGAAGTTCTGAAATACATAACCAAAATTGAAAATACTCTATAACATTTATCTTTTTTTTATTAAGGTAAATAATAATAAGTTAATAAACCATCAGGCATAGCATTTTATTACATTTTTAACAATTTAAGTACATTATTTTGATGAAAACCGGAAAACCACATCGTTCCCGGTACCTACCTACAAACACAAAAAAATCATTGAATTACGCTAATATTATAAACTAAAGACTTACCCTCGCTTCGCTCGGGTGCGTCCTTATATCTACGTTTAAATTTTTCGAGCAGGTCCCTAATTCTTTTTCTAAAATAAAAGTAGCATAAGTTAGTCCTTATATCAACAGATATCTAACAATAAAAGGCGCGGCAAGATCAGTGCTGCTGTTTCAAAGATTAGCCGGAACAAACTGACAGACAGACGAAAGTTTTAAACATTATGTTTTTCTTACGTATAAGTACGTATATAATTTCATATGCCTTTCGTAAACAGCTGTTATGTTGATGTTACATACAGACACTTCAATTCTATTTATCTGTGTAGATGTGAAAGATCTTTTTCACGCTGTAACGGCTAAACGGATTTGAATAAAAATTTGCAATAAAGTTAGCTATCATCCTTTTTTTATTACGCTGGGGAAACCCGTCATGGATATAAAACCAAGAATCCTTGTAAGAACAAATTGTATAGCGGAACAAAATGATTTCTTACACGTAAGGTACGTGAACAGGTTACGATACAAACTCGAAAAACACAAGAAAGCTCTTTTTATGGGAATTTTTGATTGAATCCATGTTTCAATTAAAATTATTTTTTTTTTAATACGGAAACATAGGCAATTAATATTTTCATCATCATCATTGTAATAAAGGGCCCGTTTTTATTATTGCCTAAACGAAAAATGTAATTTCCTCCCTATGATTTATACGGCTGATATTTTTTCTCGTTTAATATTAAACTTTTTAAAATTGTAAACATTTTTCATTATTTATCTGTCATTTTACTTTACATTTACATTTTTTTTAAACACGTATATATTCATTTTATATATTCAGTATATTTGATTTATGCAAACAATTAGTACACGTATTTTAGCTAAAGTTTAAATATTATTAGATTATTTATCCCATATAAAAGATTAGTACCTGGGCCACTGAGCTTCGCTCGGAGTTTTTCGTCATAAGTACAATTTTCTTTAAAAAAAAAACCAAAAAACTTGAATATCAAAAAGTGCAATTATCGAACATAATATTATGCGTGGAATAATGCAAAAAAACCCGCATGAAAATTGGAAACACGCGTTTTCCCAGACATAAGACTAGTCTAGATCGATTTTCAGATTCAGATTTTATATATATATATATATATATATACAAGAATTGCTCGTTTAAATATATTAGATAATTATTTTTTTACACTGAATCTACACATGCATAAAATAAAGTAGTAATAAGGTTAAAATATCTGTACATGAAATATTTTTAAAAACTCTTGGCTGTAACGTATAGTGTACGGAATATAGACCCCAAAACAATCGTTATTAAAATTTTCGTCTGTATGTCTGTTTCTATATATCTGTATGCATTTTTCACACAAAGTTCTGAACGCATTTTAACTAAATTTTGTATAGTGATAACTTATTACTCGGGTCAACATTTAGGATACCTTTTATTGCAGGAAAATCTTTTATTCACACGGAAAAACAGAATATCTGGTTCAGACGAGTTTTTCATACAGTTTCAATGAATTATAATACAAAATATTATAGTAGAATAGTTATAATTAATATATTTAAAAAATCATTGCGATAAAATCTCTTACTTCAATGGGAAAATACAAAATTTAGTTCGGGCGCAAATCGTTGATATCGCTATCTGTTTCTCCACTTACTTCTTCTAAACCACGCTACGGTTTGTAATAAGGTTTTCAACAATAGAAAAAACAATAAACGCGGAAGGTTTTGTATATAACTTATAAATATTTTGTAGAAATGACTGAACTAGACGGTGTTTTGTCAAAAAAACTGTTTTCGTACGAATATGTGGCTAAACTTTTAGAGATACATCAAAACAATGTACTAGAAAAATCTATAGAAAAGTCCATAAAATATGTATAATATATATATATATATATATATATATATATATATATATATATATCCTAAGGTACGCTCACAAACTATTTTTATCTATTTAAAACGTACCTAGGACGAGGAAATCAAGAAGTTAGCGTTGTTTATCCAATATTTCCGCACATATTATATTTTTTTCTCTAAATATAATCTCTATTACTCCTAGATGAAACAACAAATAAAAAATACTCAATCATACAGTATACTCTATAATAAATGTTTATTCCCTCGACGCGGAGCTCCTGCGAAAAGTAAATAGTCAATGTAGAGTCAAAGGCAACGCAATTCAAGTATAATTAAATATTTAGATTTTCTTTAGCTCCTTTACGCTCATAAGAAATTTTGTGAAATCGTATCAGATAACATCATGCTTTATTAGATTGCTTGCTTGCTTCACAAAGGTCACGGGATCGATCTGAAATGGAGCAAGTGTTAAATATTGACTGTAATTGATTATTCATCTAGATCTATTGAAATCTTAGCGTAAAGTTGGTTGCCATCCAAAATATATTATCTTCACAATAGAAAAAGCGAAAAGTGGTGTAATGACTTCGCAAAAGCTTTTTATCTGCTTTTTTATTCAACTTCTGTTATATGGCTGGTTATAAAATAGATTATACTATAAGGAATCTCTGCCTAAATTATTATAATTAATTCAAGCTTTCAATCATTAAACGTATAGTACATAAAAACAAGGAGTAAATAAAAATATAAATTAAACTTTTATTTTGTGCTTAAAGGCACACTTTGAAGAGTATCTAACATTTTCATAATTTTCGCTTACACTATATTTATTTACAAGGATTTCAGTTATAATAATATGTTCTGTTTACTGAAATAGATACAAATAGTGCACTCAAATGTTTACAATGTTTATAATATGTTGACTCGTTAATTCCAAAGCATCTCTCAAAGGAATCCCGTTTAAACAACCAGAAATATAGTTACTGAACATTAATGACGGTGCCTAGTTATTCTGTAGAGGCTCTATACATATATTATGGAAGTTTCTAGACTAACTTTAAACATGCAAAATATACGCTTACATTTTTTTAATCTTACGTTATAAGTGGACAGTATTTTTATTTACCCTATTTCAAATAAAAAGTTAGTAATATTTTTTAAATAAAAATACCTCCTAATCGATTTCGAATACAGCGGCAAACCGCACTGAGACTGACCAACTACGCGGTATATATTATAGTGCATATTTGTGTACCCAAAGGCAAGTGCACCATCTATTCTCCTAATTATCGCATTCCGGTGAGACACACTGCTGACTTACTAACTACAGGCTGCCACTAAGTATCTCATGACAAAATACCCATTTGGCCTAAACAGGGACTCGAACTTAAGACCTCACGATCTGCAGCCGTACATGCTAACCACTACACAAACCAAGCAGTTTTTTACATACTAATATTTTAAGGAGTAATATTGGTTACTATATTGGCAACTTTTTTGTAGTACCCGTGGGACATTGGTATATTGCAAAAGCAAAAGGTTACCGAAGGACGTGTCGGGTATAGTTAAGGCGGAGCGAGGTCGGGTCGCTAGCTCAGACTAAAAGAATAAGATAAATATTCTAGGAGAACATATAACCTATGTAATATATTTTTAATTATTATTTTTCATATCATTTTTAATACTCTTCTCATCAGGTTTTGAAACTTAATAATGTTTGTGAAATGAATGTCGATATAGGTAGTTTAATCACGTAATTTCAGTTTGTCAGTGTTTTCACGCGTACTCTTTTAGGGACGTAAAAACTTTCAACTCTGAACATATATGTTATTCTGTTTATATCTGAAAATTACAGAAATATTTTAAGCTTTTTGACGAAAAGGTACATCGAAATATGTTGTCTAGTACCATGGGTCTGATTTATGTGTCTTAACCAAACACAAAGAGATTTTTTTGGGAAAATTCCTTTTTGAATACCACTCTATTTGACTATTTAGAGATTAATTAATATTTTAACAGTATGAAGTCTAATTATACTGAATTGTGCTAATTGAAAACTAATATACATTTTTAATTTTATCACTTATTTACCTTATCAGAATATTTTTGCTAATACTATTTTACGTTAGTGATAAGTTTTTGCTTCTTTATCACTTTACTACGCATGAGGGGCATTTCTGCATTCCCTATTACTTTTCTGTTGTCCATACCAAGAGGAATTGACCTTGAAACCCCCTGCTCTTAAAATTAGTTAGATTAGACAAAGTGCATATTATTTTAAAGCACCTTAATATTTCTTTTATTATAATTTTGAATATAATTTTGTGATCTTTCCCCATATTTATTTGTAATAGACAAAATAAAAGTAGAAAATCTAAAAAAACCATCATAAGCTTTAGAGTATTTGTGTTGGGGTGTACGTTTACTTAACGTGGTCGCAACATATGACATACTAGCGACTCACCCTCGCTTCGCTCGGGTTTATCCCTAGCTTGATTCCCAATAAAAACTTTCATTCTCATTTGCACCCCCTTAAGGAATGATTTCCGGGATAAAAAGTATCCTATGTCCTTCTCAGGGTCTAAAACTATCTTCTTACCAAATTTATCTAAATCGATTCAGTAGATCCAGAATTACCCTGTACAACGTCACAAGCTCACAAACTTTACCTCTTTATAATATTAGTATAGATTAAGGAAATCAAAGCCAAAGTCAAGTGAAGATTCTAAAGCGGTAAATGAGGTCATAATGCGATAATACAAAGGCGTATGACGAAAAGCGGTATGACGTCATGTGAAATCAAGAAACACCACAAAAAATGTCTCCTTCACGTAGGAATTATTCACGGGAAGATTCCAGGAACGCTCACGGATACCGGCATTTTCATTACTCTCTGTCATAGGAAAACTGAAACGCGTCGAGAAAATTGGGGAATTTAATTAAAATGTTTCTGTTCAAATTTTTAGAGTCATGAGATACATTGACTTGTGTTTCTCGCATAAAATATTTCTATTTTGTTAAAATTTGTAAGGCTGTTTGTTGTCTGTAAAATAATATTATCTAAAAGAGAATACAAAATCGGTGCCCTTTCTTTCTCATGATAAACGGATATGTTCCGTTGAATGACGTAACTTTATTTATGGTAACCGATATACTTGCCAAATTATTTAGTTTTTAGATATTCAACAGATCCATACATACACTAACATAGTTTTCAGAAATAATAATTGATCTTATAATAAGTATGTGTTCACTATTGCACTAAAACGTGGTAAACTTCAACCGCGTTACCCACACAAACTAGTTCTGTCTAATTTAATATTGTTACTCCATTTAGAGTTCAAATCAACAGTCGTAACCACTGAACTGGCAATAATTATGGGTTACACAATTTAAGTTAGTTCTTCGTAATTTCAACTCGGATATTAGAATTCTTGTCTACGAGAATCTGTGTTCCTTTTGTTGACATTCTTACCTACAATTGTATAGATGTTTTATTAGTAAAATTTAATGTTTTAAAAGCATTGTTTTGATTATCTTCGTTTACGCAAACGGATTATAGCAATCATCAAAAGGTAGAATAAACACCGTCCGCCTTGATTACATTGTAACGCCAACAACCTACAACGAATTAAAATTTACGGAAAGCCACAAAATAAGCAAATAAACTTCTAATCGAATACCATTTACGAATATATACGAGGATTACATTTTGTACAATAACTAAACACGCAAATTATATACTAAAATAAGTATAAAATATATTAAACATTATGCATCTTAGAAAAAATAGTAGCTGGGCCACCGAGCTTCGCCCGGAGTTTTTGGCCTAAAGTACAATTTTCTTTTTTTTTTAACTAAAAACTTGAATAAACATTAAAAAAAAAGAAAAGTAAAAAATTTGTATGCCACCGAGATTTTAACCTGGACATCTGTGATTGTTGAACTTATACCTTGGCCGCTTGACCCTTATGCCCGAGCGTGCAAATTACCAACAAAAGAAAACTGCATGAAAACTCGAAAAGACGCGTTTAGACATAAGACTAATCTATATCGATTTATCGCCCTCGAAACCTCCTGTATACTAAATTTCATGAAAATCGTTGGAGCCGTTTCCGAGATAAAGATTATATACAAGAATCGTTTAAAGATATAAAATATAGGGACACACCGATAACATAACAACTTTAAAAAAATATTCCTCGCTTGTGATGGAAAAAATATAAAAGATTTTGCAGCCTTTTATTTTTCGTAGTAATTCTTCTTATTATCTAAGGAAATACCTCTCATTTCTTCATAAAAAATATATTTCCTAAAGAATGTAACTCCTGTGTAGTATTTTTAACAACTATATCTTTATATTACCTTCTAGAATCCTCGTGCGAGCCATAAGCTACACAGTGCATGGATTAATCCCGGCATCCTGCGTGTTCGCCGACCGTTATAATCGAGAGGAAGTTGTCAGGTCACTGGGCAAAGAGGTTAATATTAATCCTCCTCTGATGCTTGGACAGCTGCCTGACACTCCTGAAGAACTGTTGAAGTTGGATCAAGTAAGTCCAAATTATTATTTTTTATATTTGGAAAAAGTATTGAAAATACAGGATAGCTCATCATAACTGATGTTAAGGAAATATTTTCTTTTTATCGAAATATACAAAAGTATTTTTAATGTTATTTTACAAGTTACATATCCTCACTTTGCGCTTGGGTGCAACCCTAAGTGCCTAACAGTAATCTATATGTTCCATCCAGGTCATAGTTTCTCGGTGCACGTCCATATTTTTTCCTGGATAATAATCGATCAACATTACTACATATTACATAAAAGCATCAAATAAAATTTGAAAATAACTCATTGCTATTTTAATTACTCACAAGGGCTATTTTGATTTCCAAATTAATCTTAACGAGATCTTTCCCCTTTAAAAAACAGATTTCCTTGTTATTTAATTTCATTGCAAATAAATTCACCCCAAAATTAATACTAGCGCGGTTCCCTCAAGTTAAAGTATAAATACTTAATGACACGATAAAATCACAGTGGAAGTACAATAAAATCCACCTTAACTGAAACAGTGTCTTATTTCGTTTAGCATTCGAAGTAAACCAAAGCAGGAGTTAAATAAACCAGTACTTACTTGCAATTGTTTTTTCATTTTCCAATTACGAAATAAACGATGCTACCATCCATAGCCCTGAAACATTAATGAGGCTCCTTTAAATGGAGAACACCTATCATCTCCCCTCTGCCCTTCAATGTAACAAACTCCTACGTGTCAAGCTTGAAACTAATCACGATAATGAACTAATGACAAGTTTCAAGCAACTACTTTAGAGACACTATTAACTTTGCCTTTTAGCATGAATATTACTACTACATCTAATAGGTATATTACCATTATATGGAAAACTTTATTAATAAATATTTGTAATTAAATTGTAAAAGTAAGAATTTATTCAACCCATCACTTTCACAGTTTTATTTTCTTTGCAATGCATTAAAAACAAGTATGAAATAAGAAATAGGACTTAAATGATCAACACCTCCGAAGCAATCTTTAAGCTTCCTAATATAAAATGAGAAAATAAAGTACGCTTTAAAAGCTACATACATTTTTAATACATTAAAAGCATCTAGTATTCAAAATAAAAGTAAACGCTCTATAAAAGACTTGTAAATTCGGCAGTACATATAAAAAGTCCATTATCCTCCCATCGGTTACCTCTACCATTCGGAATAATAAGGTTTTCCGAAAATATTACAGCCAACTTTACGCTGCTAATTTTGAAACAGTCAGTTGTTCGCTGAAATAACGTTACGAGGTACGTAAAATAAGATTCAATTTTGTAAATCATAGGGGTGTGGGGTAAGTTTGTTCGATCCAGTGAACTGCCAGTTTTCATTAGGTGCCGTCGGAGGTATAAGTCGGAACTTTGTTGAGAGCGAGCCATGCTGTCCGTCCTTTACATTTCACATTCACTTAAATGTCGGATTTTGTGAATATAACAGGCTGATTCACATGTATGAATTAATGCCTACAAATGAAATTTCAGCCCGAAATATTTCCAATGTCAGAAAATTACATTAGGTTTGAATTTTCTTCAAGGTTATATTGTAAAAGCTTTATTTTATTACCGCTAAATGATTTATGACTACCGATACTTAGAAGGGCACTGAATTAAGATTCTTATGAAATACTAAGATATATTATATAATAAGATTGTAACTAAGCCAAATCTGTACAATAAATATTGGAAAATCTTATTGAAATAGACATTATTATTGATATAGAGGCCGAATCTATAGTTTTTAGAATTTTTGACTGTCTGTCTGTCTGTTACCGCATCACGGAAAAACGACTGGAGGAATTTTGATGAAATTTGGTATGATTGTAGCTGGTTATTCGGGCCAACATATAGGATACTTTTTACCGCGGGAAAATGTCTCATTTCTGAGAAAAAATACAAAAACTGCAATGTAAGAGTATACTTATATGTAAAACCTAAGAATTTTGTTTTTGGTCATCTAAACGCGGGCGGAGCCACGGGCAATGCTAGTACATAGTATTTACTTAAAAGTACGTGCACAAGATCTTTTATTTTTTAATAAATCTTCTTTTGTTCAATTAAGGATTCAAACAATGTTAACATTAAAAAAAGTACTAAAGCTCACACACGTCTCAAAGAATACACCTTTAAAGTAATGAACAGCAAATATCCAATTTCGTTAATAGTACACGTGGTTGAGGGAGACGTGAATACTAATGGCCGCCATTCTGGCTCACCGACTACTCTCCATCTCTACTTACCCCACTTTCTCTGATTAACCTTTGCTGATAATCTAAAACTATTGCTTACCTTTCTATAATTTATAAAAAAGATGTTTGTATGAATGTTTTATAAATCTTCTTCGTGTATATAAAATTTACCTGTGTATACTCGCAAATTGATTGAAAAGACATATGCTTTCAACTTTGCTTCGGATTCATTGGATCGTATTTATTTGACTTGACATCCACTTGCCTATCTCTAAGTAACATTGGACTTAGTTGATTTAGGTTCGAGTATTTAGGATCGAGTGCTTTTAAAATAAAGCTTTATATGTTTAAGCCTGTGTGTGGAATAGAGGATGTTTTTCCAGGTGTGAAAATTAAAAAAGCGTATTTTTTACCAAAAAATCAATCTATATTTTATCCTCATCACTTTATTGTCGTTCCGAAAATTGATAAAACTGCAAACTAAACACACTGCAAACTTTATACCATCCCACACAATATGTTTGCCTTGCGTATTTACCAAGTAAATACTTATATTGAGTACAGGTGGAAACCCTTCGCAAGTTGAAATCAACTTAAAATTGATCAGATCTTAACGTTTATCTTTAGTATAAAGTTTGAAGGTCGAACGTACATTAACTTTTTTGAGAGACAAAAATTAAACAGATCCTTATAAAACACGTTCTTGTACTAAGAATCTTTTTCCTATCCTCATTTTTTCTTTTTATTTAACTTATTAGCATTGCCCGTTGCTCCGCCCGCATTCACATGACCAGAAACCAAAATCTTAGGTTTCACATATTAGTATACTCTTACGTTGCAGTTTTTGTATTTTTTCTCAGAAATGAGACATTTTCCCGCGGTAAAAAGTATCATATATGTTGAGTCGGATAACCAGCTATCACCATACTAACTTTCATCAAAATCTCTGCAGTGGTTTTTCTGTGATGCGGTAACAGGAAGACAAACAAAAATTCTAAAAACTATAGATTCGGCCTCTGTAACAAATAATGAATAATTATAATAATGTTTATTTCAATAAGATTTTCCAAAAAAATATTTAATGTACAGATTCGGCTTAGTTACAATTTTATTATATGTAGGTATAGATTATTTGATCACTACGAGTATAGGTAGGTTTCAAAACAGCATTTAACAGCATAATGCACATCTTAGTGATAATATTGCGACAGTACTTATTGGATACAGAACTCAAAAAAATCAAATTAAAAATATCCTCAAATAGAAAAACGTTTTGCTATATTTGAATTCCTCTTATTGCTATTAACTTTACGAATACAATTTTCCAATCATCAACAGCTGTTTTTATTACATTTTGCCCTAATAATTTGCTAACTTAATGAAACACACTTTATTATCCAATTTTAGTGCATATTATCGGAGCGACAAGACTTTGCAAAGCTTGTATCAGTGGCATCGTCCTTCCGACGGCGCGTAAAAGGTTTCGTTATGCCATGCAACGTGTAGCATAATGTACTATTATTTATAAAATAATAAATCTAAACTAATATAATATTATAAAGACGTAAAATTTGTGAGATTGTGAGTTTGTGACGTTGTAGGGGGTAATCTCTGGATCTACGGAATCGATTTAGATGAAATTTGGTTAGAAGATAGTTTGAGACCTTGGGAAGGACATAGGATACGGATTTTTATTCCGGAAATTATCCCTTAAGGGGGTGAAAATGGGGATGAAAGTTTGTATGGGAAATCAAGCTAGGGACAAACCCGGGCGAAGCGAGCGTGAGTCGCTAGTATGTTATAAAGAGGATGCTTATAAATAAATAATATGTACTTGTATACATAGATATGTACATTTGTCGATTTACTCTGCTTTTTGCATAGACATACGAGTATGAAAGTCACTATAGAGTAATATGGAGTATTTTTAATGTCGATACATAAACAATATTAAAAGTCAAGTGAAGTTTACTTTGTACTAAGCTAAACGAGAATAGGTCACTGGTCGCTGTATATTAAACGGTCTATTGTACATTATGTCGGTGTATATTACATTTCGGTGACACCACGTACAAAATCTCATATTTGTGCTTCAGCCCCAATTGGAGAATTTGCGGGCCAAACAAGTAAAGTAATAAAGTTCTCATAAAAAGTGTACCAAGGTACAGAGCTACTAATACTTTTATGCTTTCTTTATTGAGCAGAAAAGCCGTAAAATGTTTTTTTCATCAGATGGTTCTTGCTTTGTTGTATACAATATTCTTCATAACCGTACTAAACTATTTTTCATAATATTGGAGACAATTGCAAGTTAGATCATTTTATTATTTAAGAGCGTAAAGTTGAAATATTTCCACAAAATTACGTATACATCTTATACCTACTTAGGGATAAAATTAAAAAAAGTTCTTTCTTTATGATATCTACAATATACATTTATATTTATTTATCTTCTAAGAAAGATTTACTATAATTTGCTTAAATACAGAATGTAACACGTTTATTTCAATTTTAGATGTTTGATGGTATTATATTATAGTCAAAGTGATTTGAATTATTTGTCTCAACGTCATCATCAAAAGTTGACACTTTATTGTTTCTCATGCATCTTATACTCATTAACTTGATCAACTTACTTAAGAACAAAATAGTTATAATAGTTTTTAAACCACTATGTTGTTTAGATTAAAAGAAATAGCACAATGAATTACCATGTTACGACAATTGAGATCACATAAAAGCGTAATATAAACTGGAAATCGCGGCATTAAACTGAATTAACCATTAATTACCCAGGTGTTTAAGTATTCGTAATAAATTTGAGCACTTCTAAAAGTTATTTATGATAATGAAACAGGATCCTCGTAATGGTATTCGGGTTATTTGAATAAATCACTTTTCTCTATAATTATTAACTCACGCTCGCGATATTCAATTTAGTCAGTAATTACTAGCATTAGTAGCATACATCTTGAACACGATTTTTAATATAACATATGATATTTAATTACAACAAAAAACATACTTATAATTATTTTAAATAGTGGATTCACATTTATACGTACAAAAAATACTTAGTCGCTGCTCTCTCTTATTCTTGTTCTTTGTGTGCAATAATATATGAAGGCTGTGGAAGCCCAGTACCAAGCTTGCTAGGAGAAAAAAGTGAATCAGTTCAAATCCCGGACCTCGCACCTCTTAGTAGGAGATCCTGGTCTATGTGGTGAACCCCTCACTCTTTTTCCATTCGAAATATGTTTTATAAACCATAAAACACATTAACATACACGACCAAGGGGTGCTAGCACCAAAAATTTGCTCCAGGCTATTTTTATAAAAAAATGTTTTTTTTAAGTACAAAGATTCTTTTCCTGTGACAAATTAGTATCAATCGAATAATCACCATTATACGTTTGGCGGCCTTTTTCGAACATATTACCTGACATCCAGTACAAACAGGTAAATTGAAGTATCTTTTTCCGGAAAATGCAGATAATTTTATAAAAAACTGAATGATATAGGGTTATTATACCAAAACATCTCCAGACTAGAGGTTTTTTAATTAAAAATAGCCTGGAGCTAATTTTTGGTGACAACCTCTCTGCGTCGTGTTGGTTAATATGTTTTATGGTTTAAAAAATATATTTCGCCTGGAAACATAATGAGGGGTCCACCACATAGATCGGGATGTTAGACTATCTGATATTGCCATGTGTGAATCATTTTTAACTTGTTTGCAACCTACCACTTAGATTACGGTGAAGGAAAACATCGTGAGAAAACCTGCATATCTGAAACAACCTAGCATGTTTTCGAAAGACACTTGAAGTCCGCCAATTTCTTGTCAGTACATCCGTTTGTGTACCTAAATATTTAAAGCACTTTTTAGCATTAAGTGCACCATTGTCCGCTATACAACACTACTTCCCATTTCCATATGACTACAAGAGATCTCTTTCAGACGATAATAATTCCACCGTTGTCATTTTACTCTTCGTCAATTGCAATAAATAATGAACATAAAACATAGCCTAAAACAAAAATATACTTTTATTATGTATAAAAATATATTACCTACCTACGAAAGAAACTAATTTTTACTTCAATTGAAGCCTTCATCCAAATATATAGATTGTGATAAACAACTTATCTTTCTTATTACAATAAGTGAGATGTCCCTCGAGCCTGCAATATATAGACGAGACGATACTTTCAATCAAAGCGCAGTACCGGATAAAATTGCCTCCCAGCAGTAATAAATTTATAAATTACCCTACGCTTTTGTACAAAATATAAGGTTATGCAACATTATTGCTTCCTGAAATTAAATTTTTGCTTACATCTTTACTTCATCTTAATATGTATGGTAAATGGGATGGAGTTAAATATTCTGAACAATATGGCTGGAAGATTTCCGCAGATCAAGCGACCTTAAACATAGCAAAGTTACAGTTTTAATAGTCTAATAAAATAACGTAAGCTACAATTACGAGTTACGATCAATATATTATAATCACAATAGATAATCAAACAATCCTAATAACACTAATTATTTAATTTTCTATTTCATTTGAAATATATTCCCCGAATACAATACGCCTATAAATGACATATTTGAATATATTAACGAAATAGGGAATATGCGTGTGATTTAAATAAAGGTGTTTTTTTTATCTTTATTGCTTTTGAATTAAGCCTATATTAATATTTTTTAATGAAATTCCTTTTTGATTAAGAAAATAATTATTAAAAGTGCAAATATAGGTGGGAAATTCAAAATAGTTAAAACGCAACGCCATTGGTCAGACTGAATATGACGTCACAGTACATCACAACAGAGCGATTAGCGATTTTGTCTTACTTTATATAATTGCTTAAGCAAAACTCGGAATTTTTCTGTGTATGATATACGTTGACGTCACGCCAAGCGTGCGAAATGGCAGGCGTTTCAAGTAGGTATACGCATCCGTATGACATTTTTTTATAATATATTTTAGTTTTTTGGAGTTCAATATTTTTTACGATGTGCTATTGTATAAAAAATTAAAAAAAATCACACATATTCCCTGTTGGGTACCGCAGAAGTATCTATCTAGGGCAGCATATTATGGCTGTATTACGCCGGTGAGTCCCACACGTCGTGCGTAAATGCATTTCCCAACGTTAAAAAAAAAAAAGGGCAGCATATTATGCAACCGAAAGAGATACAGATGCTCCCCGCTCATAAATCTGGAAGTTCCTGGTGTCAACAGGACTAAGCGGAGAACTTTAAATTCAATCTAAAGGGAGCTACAATTGACCATAACTGGTCGACGTAGCTAGACCCGACCTCGGCACCACTCCCAATAAAATATAATAATAATATTGGGTACAGTTTCCAAGTTACTTCTAAAAGTCTGTTTATATATATAAACTAGCGTCTCACCCTCGCTTCGCTCGGGTTCATCCCTAGGTACGTTTTAATTTTTTTGAGCGGAACCCTAATACTTTTTCTAAAATAAAAGTCGCCTATTACTCCCTATAACATTAGCTATCTTCCAGTAAAAACCCTGTCAAAATCAGTCCAGCCGTTTCAGAGATTATCCGGAACAAACAGACAGACAGATGAAAGTTTTAAAAAATGTGTTTTTCTTAAAAGTATATAACCGTATATAATTTCATATGCATTTAGTAAAATGCTGTTATTTTGACATTACAAACAAACACTTCAATTTTATTTATCTGTAAATTTATCTATAAAGATAAAAAAAGTCTGTTTATAAGTAATTTTTTTTTTCCTAATACAATAATAATAATACAAAATGAATATCTTTTTTATATTCCAGGTATTCATTAAATCTGAGTTAAAGGTCGGTGTAATATATGTTAAAGAAAACCAATACACAGAAGAAGAAATTTTAGACAATAATGAGAACTCGCCGTTTTTTGAAGAGTTTCTTCAAGTTCTCGGCGAAAAAGTTCGTCTCAAAGGTATATAACTAATTGAGTTTTCTTTATTTCTTATCGGTGCTTAGGACAATTTAGGTGAAACTTGTTATTTGTTTGCAAACAAATAAGATTTACTAAAATAGATTAAGATGTTAAATAAAAAAATGCTATAAAATAACCTATATGATATTAGAAAACCGGATATAAATATCTTTTTGAAATTAGTTAAAAATACAATTTAACTTAAACAATTATATAAAATACTATCGACTTACCCTTTCTTCGTTCGAGTGCGTCCTTATATTTCGTTATCTCTGTACTTTTCATCTAAATGCCTTCAGCATGGAGAAGTAACAAACGTAGAACTTTCACACTTATATTGGAAATAGGATAATATTTACTAACTCAGCTTTGCTTTTTCAGGTTTCGATAAATACAAGGGTGGTCTAGACACTGTCCATGACCTAACAGGATTGTACTCAGTATATACTAACTGGAGAGGCATTGAAATAATGTTCCACGTGTCAACCCTTTTGCCATACGAAAAGCATGATCCTCAGAAATTACAAAGAAAACGTCACATTGGAAATGATATCGTTTGCGTAGTATTTTTGGAAGCGGACAATACGGCATTTTCGCCGGCTTGTATTAAAAGCCATTTCTTACACACATTTATTTTAGGTAAACTTTTATAACATAATATGTCTTTTATTGTTACAACTTTTTATAGAGTTTACTATAAGTAATCGATTTATTATTGTATATTTATTTTCTGAGAATGTTAAACTGTTTTAAGATTTGTTTTGAAAACTTATAAGTAAAATTCTCAAGTCGTCAAAGTTACATTAAAACCACGCATGTTTTATCGACGTTTAGATCGACTTAAATTGGACATCTTTCATATATGTAGGTAGTGTTTAAACTAATGGAATGCCTTTAAATAGTAATCATATGGTTTTAAAACCTATCTTATTAAAAGAGTATATTGTTTCCACGCATATATATACGCAATTACGTTTAGTTTAGATTAGATAGAATTAGTTTAAAATGTACCTCTTTTGGATGATCCGACCGATTTTATGTCAGATTTTTTTCGTAGATATTAAAATTTTGATCTTTTATAATATTTGTGGATTTACCATATGGGATGAATCAAGCATGTCATATTAGGAGGCAGTTAAACATGGCTACTGTGTTAGATGATCATGAAGTACTTATTAAAAAGAAAACAAATTTAATGCTTCATATTTAATGTTGGTAAATTATTCAGATACCCTTGAACGCGATATTACCTTATTACGGATCAGTATATAATTTTAATGTCGAAAAATCTCTAAAAAAACTGCAATAAAGGGTTAAAATTTGAAATTCCAGTGCGGGTGTCAGCTAAAATTAAAAGGCGGCCCACTAGATATGAAGTGTCGGTGGTAACTCGGGACGAAGTGGGTGCGTACAAGCCCTACTTATGGGAGCAGAGTGTGTTCGACAAAGGAGCTATGTTCAGGTGCGTTTAAGGGTTATCGAACTTCCTGACTGTTTGAATATTCCAATAAATATTCAAGGGTGAAACCCACACGGCTTTTCGTAACTTTCATATTTCAAATAACAAAATAGTTTTGTATTCAATGTAATTCTTTTTGTTTTATTTCAACATAAAAATAATTGTTGACCTAACATTTTGCCAATTTAATAAATAGTAAAAGCTGTATATATTTTTTGTCCGCTGTATAAGAAAAGTAGGTACTATTTGTACTTTACATGCTATTGTTAATATATTTTGATGAATTCTAATATAATTTCATACACTTTCAAAAACTATGTTTATAGTAAGTGTCCCAACTGTATTAGAAAAGCAAATGATATTAAAAAAATAATGGATTATATTTAAATAAGTATATTTCTTATTACATATAACAAATATTCGTTATTTAATTAATATTTGCTCTCGACCTAACTCACGTGGTAGATACTTGGCTAAAAATAATCTATGTTGATTTAGGATATAAGCTGTCCACATTCTGATTTTATCTAAAATGTCGCGTTACAGCACGCAGAGTTACCCAACAAACACGCAATTTTTTGCATTTATAATATTAGCATGATTAGTGCATCGTTATAATTTTTGCAGGGAATGGTTGCTCACAAAAATAGTAAATGGAGAAAGAGCGTCATACTCAGCGCCTAAGTTTGCAAGAATGCAAGAACGCACAAGAAGTCAAATGCTAGAAGATATTGTCGCCAATCTACAAAATCATGCGGAAACCGGCCAAATACCAAAACCTTATAGAAGAGGTTCTTATTATTTATTTATATATTCTGTCATTTTGGGTCATCAGTTTTTCTCACTTCTGTTCAATTCTTTATTTTAAAAAAGTATTAATAGTAATTTGTAATACTTATAAAAAGTATTTATAAGAAAACAAAATGAATTGTTTAAAATATATGAGACATTAAATACCCAAATTGCACTTTGTGGAATTTGTATAGGTACACTTTTATGTATTTTTACCTAAAAAATCATTCTTGGCAAATTCAAACACCAAACAGTAATTTATATCACTTAAAATTACTTTTGGCTTGAAACTCAAAACAAATATTAGGATCCGAATGCTTCTCAAAATAGTTTACTGTCACGAACATTAACGTCTTACCTAACTAACGCCCTAAGAATTTTAATATTGAAAGAATAAAAATCGATCTGTTTCTCTTGATAATATACTGCCATTAAAATTTATACAATTTCTTTCAGGCTCTTGGAGGCCGATTGGGCACATGAGGCCGTCATCTCCTCTGCTGGATTCAGTTAGAGATCAGTTTGAAGATTATGATCAACTCGCCAAAGATTTTACAAGAGTGTTTTTAAATAATGAACTAAATTCCGCACAAAACGCTCAACTCTTCGACGTAGTCTTCCTAGTTGGACAATCAAAACAGAAAACTAAATTTATTGGCGTGAGAGCCATATTGGGAGTTAGGAGTAGGTGAGTGATATACCATTTAATGAATATTGTTATATATACCAATATATAATGGTATATAACAAACAGTTTTTTATGTAAGTTTTATGGCCATTGCAGAACTGTAATAAATGTTAATGGACCAGTAACTCTGAGAGAAAGAGACAAATAGTTCTATAATTTTGCGCAAAAGTATTATTAAAACAAAACTAAATGATTGTGTATGTACTGGCGTATACACCATGATTTGCTTTTATATTTTAAGATGGCAATTTTAACTGAAACACGTGTTATGGTCAAACGTACAGTTTTCAATAGATTACTGTACACTTGGGCTACCAGTTGCTATACAGGCAAAACTGTCAGACCCTTGTACAATACCTACACCGAAAAAAATATAAAGTTAAAAAATATAAAAACGATTAATGTCATAAATATGTCTTATAATATTATTACAATGCCATATTTTAGAGTGTTCCAAGAAATGCTGTACGGTATACAAACAGGCTTTGGTTCACCACAAGTACCTGTGGCGGAACTACTAGCCAGACCGGCGCCCACACTGCTCTCCCCTACTCCAGCGAGACAGAAAAGCAGTAATTTCCTCCAAGTGCCAGATATTGAATCGCCAAGGTATATTACACAAGACTATATTGACCATTTGCATAAATGTAGCATAATGTAACGCTTGCTTACAACCGGGAAATCTTTAATTTCAAATTATCTTAAATAAAACTATCTTTTCGGATTATTTCGCGGATTTATTTTGAGTTTTGGTTTCCGACGTTTCGAATGTTTTACAGCAATCATGGTCACGAGAGGAACTAAGGTTTTAGACGTCTCAAAGGCGTTATATACCTACTTGTTACAGACAGTGCCTACTAAGCATGGAAATGATTGCTACTTTTAAATCATTATCACGTGATGAAATTACAACAATTTTTCACGTGATTTCACCTGCTACTTTTCACGCATAGATTTTTGATTTCGACGGTCTGGTGTCACACTTTATAGTATTTGCTATTAAAATGAAGTATGAAATGTCACCAATGGCGCTACTGATGTGATATGGAGCAGAGATATAGATCTGACGTAGTTGCATACGTACATGGTGCTTTGAATGAACCTATTTTCAAACAATGAACTTTCCCTCATACTTCTACAGGCTTGGGACAGACAATGTAAAATTAAATGAATTTTAAATATATCAGAGTAATCACACGGTAAAATTGTATTAAGCTAAGTTCCATAATTACATTGGCGTATTTAAAAGTTCATTGTTTTTATGTACAATAAGAATTTTTATAAAAGAATTTTATACACTTTTTTTTTGCTTTTTGATTTTTTTGATGATTGATTTTTTATGAGATATCTATATACAATAGTCTTCATTGCTTTTTAAAAATACAAGTTCCGCTGTTCGTTTTCTGCTTAATCGTGCTCTTTTTTGGGTTGCAAAATTTCCCGCTTTTGAAAATACTCTCTCACACTCCACTGATGTCACCACGATGTGACAGTGCTCATGAAATATTTCCGCCAAATTGGGGTACATATAGGAGTGAGATTTCCACCAAACTAATGGCGAAGAATCCCGCGGAAGCACTGGTTCATTAATAAACATTTCTAGCTCGTTCTCAGCGTTGGTGGTTATGTCTGTACGTATTACACATAATCATTCAGTAAAAATTATAAGTATTTGTTGGATAAAAAACTAAAAATGTGCTCTAAATTTAATTGTTGTTTCTAATTTAAAATTATTTCTAAGCAATATTTCTAAGAATCCGAAATCATGCAACTCGAAATAAATAAACTCCCCAATTTACTGATCAACGGTATTAACTGAAAATTGTATTTTGTTGAATAAAAAATCAATAAAAACATCAGTACGAAAATGTATACGGAAAATGCGAGTAACGAAATGCATTCGTGAGTAACGTTTCGGTACTCGGTACTAGATGGCGTACCCGTTACTCAGTAACGAATACATACGGTTTGCTACAGCTCTAGATTTCACCAAGTTGTGATTTGTAGCAGCCACTATGAATTTAAGTAGCAGGTGTGACGTAT